TAAACACCTTTGAATCGATAAGGCTCTTCAATTGTCTCGCTCAATAGAAAGGAACACAAAAGAATGACTGCATTTTCTAAAGCACGTTTGAGATAAAATCTCGTTCACATGACACGAAGTTTGCATTATAAGCATACAAAGTCTCGTACACGCCAGCAAGCATTGCGAGACTACAAAATGGCGGCGCCCTGTCGCCGAATGTAAACAAACCGCGCGATTGCATAAACGCTTATCTATGGCATGGAACACCAAAATCCGATAAATAATTTTAAAAAATGTGTTTCTCCGGGAGAAAACCGGAGGTTTTCAGGATTTTTTAGAAATATCCCGATTTCCGGATATATCCGGAAGACTTTCATCTCTGTTCCAGTGCTCAAGTACTAGAAGAAACCTGGTCATGGGTTGTTAGAAAGGCCTTGTTCCAAAGTGTAAAGAAAAAGAATTTCAAACACAATTAAGATAATTTATCCTTGTGAAATTAAAGTACAGTAATATGATGATATATTACATTGTATGTAATCTAAGGGTATGTTCTGAAACATCCTTTAAATATATATATATATATATATATATTTTTAAAGTAAAATATAAAAAGTATTTCTATAAGATGGATGGTTTCATTATATGTAAATATAAAGTTTTGAAGTTGAGTTCAAATACCTATAAACCAACAAAAGGTACAAACTACTTAATTATTTTACTTTAACCCTTTCCATACAGGATTGGTTGACATGATTGATCCTATAACCATAAAGTAACCATCAAACTTTCCATGCTATAACTTTTAATATGTTTTGTTTAGCTTCACATAATTTGGCAAGTTTATGGTAAACAAGTCTTTAAACATAAAAAAATGATTTTTCAATTAAGTATTTTTACTAAAGATTTGACCATGAATATATGGAGTCAGAGTTTTGACTGCTCCAAGTGCAAAGTGATTTTTATGTTAAGATTAAAAATTATTTTTCTTTATCTCAAAATTTTCAAGTTTCATCTGCATAACCTCTAAAACCTCCTCAATAAATATTAAACCTTTTTTTTTCTAGTAAAACTTTATATTTCATTTGCTATTTCCTCTACCCTAACTCTTATATGGACTTAGTCATTTTGACAAACCTTGTAATCACTATAAAAAAATACCAAATAAATTTAAATTACCTTTTTTTTCTTTCTATAATGACTGCAGATTGTAACGGATAATTACAATTGTTTATCCTAAATAACTTAAAGCCTGTAACAGTATACACCTGATTATACTTAATATTTTTAATTGCCCTTTGAACCATGTCTAACTAATAATCCCACCACATAAGTTGTAAATTACTTGGAGAATGTGTAGCTCACACTACCATATTGAATGATGTAATGCATAAGCTGCTCATGAGCATACCTCGTGAAAAATTATCATTATTCATTATCTTACCTAATCTAATCTAACAAGTCTCTAATTTTTATACTTAAAGATATTTTTATATCAATAAATAAAGAATATACATGAAAAACAAGAAATATTGTTCTTAACTTTGGCCTCTGGTTATTTTATTGTTGGTTTCTGATGAAATTTAATACTACTTTTTTATAATGATGGTACTAGTATACTAAATAATTATTTACTTAAATAGCGCACCTAAGAACATATAATAACAACACACACAAAGTAAACAATTTTCCATGCCTATTATAATTTAACTGGCTTTGTAACTGAGACAACAGGGGTTTAAATTAATTCCCTTTGCAGCTCCATCTGAACATTATGAGACAAACTTTCAAACTGAAGATGCAATTGACAATACTCTGTATTGAAAACAATGTAGAATTATATGTCATTCAACCCATTCAAACTCTGCTTTTCTATTGGCTACAAGTGATATAGTACTTCAGAGGGAATTATTGGCATCTTACAAAAGAGAGAATGTGACATGTGGGCATGGCAAGTTGGTCATATTTTCTAGTTTATGACTCTGTAAACAAACAAGATTGAAGACAAAAAAATTAGCCTTAGTAATATCTATATTATAATGAGTAACTTACACTAAATTCTGTACTTCCCGGAGGGGGGGGGGGGTAAATAGATTAGAGAAGAGAAGAGAGAACAAATGTGACAATTCTGATACTGGGGAAGACCGAGGATTTTTTAAAAATATTTCCCTATAAAACTTGTATAATATTAAACTTTGGTTTATTCATTGTGTTTTGATGCCAAGTTCATGTGAATAGACTGATGATACAGCAGCTTAATTAAATTTTGAATGTAACTCTGTAAAAGGTCGTGACATGCACACTTTGACTTGCATGTAGCAAGAGGGTTAATAACAAAACTTATAAGTTACCTCAGTCTTCTGTGGAAGTAAATCATAGTTCTTTTCTTCTTTGTCTTCTGCTACATCAAACTGAGAAATGGTATGAGATATTTCTGCTAAGGAATCAGCTTCTGTTGCTAGAAGTATAAATAATGTATATTTATGAAAAATTATGTGGCTGAATATAACTTGAGCATTTCTAAATCACAAAGCTCAAATACTGTAATGACACGTCAAATTTGTATGAGGGGAGAGAGTTTTTTTCTTTTTCTACACAGATTTCCCCCTCTAACCTCTCTCTTTAATAAAAGTCAACAGATTTCAATTGGAATATGCTAAGTCTACAGCTAGAACATAGCAGTTGGCTTATTCTTGCATAAACACACACATTCAGACTTTAAAAACACAGAAAGGAGGTTGGATGGAAATTCCTATCTTTCAATAAAATCTAAATCATCATCATACAAACTTAATATTCGAGTGACAATAGTTACTATGACTTACAAAAAAGAAAATAATTCTCAGTAAAACTATTTCCTGAAGAGTGACCTTTGAAGTCACGAAACCTGTAGAAGATATTAATAAAAGAAAGAAAAAAAAAGTCTGCTTTTCCAATGTTTTCTTATTCATATCCATAGATGAATTTTATTGATGTTTTGGTTATATAAGTATTTAGACACACGCATATAAATTTATCTATATACTCCTCTAGTTTTTTAACTTTAACAATAAAACTTAAGCCAGTATTAGGGTTAAGTCCAGGATACAATATACCTGCAATGCAGTCTTTACTGTGTTCATATTAATAATATCAAACTTGTCTTTTTTCTGATAAAGAGAATACCAATGGTTGATAAATCTGTTAACTTGTTGCTGACACCTTAATCGACCTTGAATTTTCTTTCTTAACAAAACTTGGTGAGGAAAATTATAACAAGCCTTCACACATATTCACACATGTAAGTAAAGTGACAATATTGTTCCTCAAATTTTTTAGGTTGTCTTCAGCTTATTTTTTGACCTGAACCCATGCTGGGAAGTAACTACTAGCAGGTTATCCCTTTACCTCAGTTTATACAGATTATAATAAGCATCCAACAGGTCTTGTTTTTTACTACACTCAAAAGTGGTGCAGGACAGGATTACCACAGTGTCTGGTTTTACCTTTCATATCCTAGATGAAATATAAGGTAAAAGTACATCCTGATTTTACTGTTACACCTCTCCGGGTATAGCTTAGCAATTAGTGGAATATATTAACTGATTATCTGTCAGACTCATTAATTGACTACATTCAATAACATGATTAAAAAGGAGATTTGGGTAGTTTCAGTTATTGGAATGAGGAGGAATAATTGAAACACTAATACTAATTATTGAATTTTTTTGGTAGTTATTAAACTAATCAATTAAGCTAAGTCACCTTGAATTAATCAGAAATAATGAGAAATATTTTGTTTACTTGGACTTCGAATAACTTAAAACAGTAATATTTTAAAATAATAATTTTTATTAGTTTATATACTATATGAAACTAATTAGTGCTCATTGAAAATCAATTATATCAATTAACCTCCCAGCTCTATCTCTGGTACAAGGAATCAAATGATTTTACTCTATATTAAATAAGATTTGCAATCAATTAGGGATGGAAAATTATGACATGTAGCTGAATTTAAAAGAAATTTAGCAAAAGTTTGAAAGTGATAAAAATCTTAGCAAGAAAACAAAACAAAAGAATTCTAAAGATATGTACTTACTACAAGGTAATGTAAAAGTTTCTTCTTCATTTATCACCAATTCAATATCTAACAAAACATCCTGCTCCTCATCAGAAAAGGGTTCATCCTTGATCTTTAATACTTCCATGATTACATTAGAGCTTCACCTTCACATTCTTATCAAAGATTGCCATTAGTCTACAGAGAAACATGTTAAGAATTTGAACTTTCATCATTCAAAAAGGCTACAAAGTCTTCAACAAGCAATAATTTGAAAAAGAGCAAGGGAAAACAAAATATTATTGATAAAAGTCCAGTTAAACTACACGCTTGTTACTAGTCTGCCTCACAGGTCAGTGCTTAAGCCTCCTCTTTTTTATTATCTATATTAATAACATTGACAGAAGCATAATTTGTAGTTTGCTGATGGTATTACACTCCTACATGTTCCTAGCTGGATTATGAGGTATTACAAAACGACTTGCAGTGGAAGGTAATGAACTTAAGTTATCATAATACAGATCATACCTTTAATCAGGGATAATGAAAAGATTCTGGGCTGAAGCCCCAAGCAGCAGCTACTTCTCAAAATAATTAAAACATAACTACAATTTTATAATATTATAGTTTACATAAGACAAACACATCCAGGTCATGGACCTTGTAATGTCACTGCATTTAATATCTGATGGGAACCCACTCTAAAGGATAACTGAAAAAAAAAAAGATCTTCAGGTAGTCGTTGATAATTCAATCATGCCGTTGATGCAATTTTCTGTGGCTAGTATCAATGCTAACAGAATTTTAGGGAGTATTTATACACATATTAACATGTGAAAATAGTTATTCAAATTATCTCTTTATACAAATTAACAGTTAGGCTCGACTTGGAATTGTATATACAGTTTTGGTTTCCTTATCCAAGAAGGTATTTTGACTTATCAGAAAGGGTTGTGTATACAGCTACTACAATGATTCCAGACATGGAAGGATTATCTTACATATTTAGGTAAAGATATTTTAATTTCTCTTGAAAAAAGAAGGGTGAGAGTTGATCCTATTGAAGTTAGCAAGTTTAGAAGGGTGGTAGCGGTGGCCATGGTGGATAGAGAGGGATCCATAGGATAAAGCCCTGATTTGTTTGTGCTATATTCTGAAGATAATAATTGTTGAGCATGGAGTTCAGATATTAATGAGTTGCTGTTGAAAGTACTGGAGGCCAGTACTTTACAGGAGCTTAAAAGAGGAAATAATTTATTTTCTAAAATATATAGAATGGGCTTACATTTTACTTTTATAAAGAAGTGGGCATATTAGGACAGCCTTCAAACCAAGTGGTTTCTTGTTAATTACAATTTATTTTTCTTTGTTTCTGACTTTTAATATGATCTTTTGTTGTCCATATTTTATGTTACCACACTAATAAACTACATCATATGGCCCAAACTACTTAGTGGCATGGTACAACTAATATTTCTTAGTAAAAACTCGCACTGAGACCACTCCTTCTGCAAATGTTATTACCTGACTTGATATAAACACTAATATTTATAAAGCTTAAATAACCACAAGCAACTGTCACATTTACTCTGTTGTACATAACATATACATATGTAGAGAACAAATTACAGCAACAATTAATTCGTGTAACTTATTATCAAGTACATGACAAAGCAATCAATTCAATACACTTTTATACAGTACATTGAACAAAACATATTCTTAGTGTGCCTGTTTTAATAATTATTATTGTAAAATACTATATGAATATGTTTCAGAAAACCAGATTAAATATGCTATTGCCGTGAGTACTGGCTAATATGTTTATGAATATGGCTAACCTTCCGAAAATTGAGGATGCCACTGTTCCATACTAAATTATAAATAGTTTAAAAAATATTTCAAACACAACACAGCAAATTGGTTTCTAACAAACTCCAATACCTTAATTTATCTGAAGTTTTACCACATGCAGTAACGATTACAGATTAGCTTCATTCAAAAGCAACAGATACCTATCAAAAACAATTACATTTTTTAAACTTTAAACTATTACTATCATCCAATATAAATTATCATTGCAAAAAATTTAAATTTAAAAAAAAACTGATAGTAATAAAAATTAAAAGTTAATGCACTAGAGTTCAGGCAATGCTAGGACTTTATATGATTTATCGGGTTTCTTTGTATTTTATATGCCAAACTTTTCTATATTAAATGTTTTTTACTATTATAACTTAAGTAATGGTTCTATGACTATATGTAACAAATGTAAAAATATAACCACTTTGGCTAGATAAACAAATATCTATGCAAAAGCTGAAATAGATCAAAAGACAGAATTAGGCCTAACAACATTTTTGGAGAGGCACCGACTTAACCATCAATGTTAATGTTAAACACTTTTCTTCGCTGTAAGTTTTCTGACACTTACTTTAACTCTAAGAATAGCTGGATTGGTTGTACTAAATAATATTCTATTAAAACACTTTAAGTCATTTCTTACTCAAAATGTTTAAAAGTGTTCTAAACAATTACACTGTGATAATTTACAGTCTTCCTGATTTTATCAATTTACACCAGACGTCGATATATTCACAGAAACATTGTATCTGACGAAAACAATTTCAGAAATAAACTTAAATAAAGTTAACAATAATTACAATTCACTTGCTTAATCTGAATCACACCAAAACTATTTTTGCCGTATCCTAATCGGCCTGATGAACCCTGGTATTGGGCAATATATAGCAGATGTAGTGTGATTGATATATTGTGGCATATTCTCCTTTTCTTTTACTCATGCGTTTTTAGAATTATATCGAAAAAAAACAATACACGTACTTACGTACACTGCATGTATACACTTTGTGAGACTGACACAAGTCACTCTCCGGTCATAGCGTGGTTCGAGGACTGCGACGCCATATTGGATGGTGACACAAAATCAACACTAGCAAAGTGTACTAATAATTATCAACTTTTTTGGGAGGGGGATAAGAATATGAAACATTCATGTTGTGCAGTTTGATGCATCAAATAAATATCTTGTCAATGTAACGTACTGTTGCGTCAGCGAGGTCACGTGACTAGTGTCACGCCACGTTTCTAGAAATATCTTGTTCCTTC